CGGACAAAACCCAACGTTGATTGTCGTGTGTTGACGCGGTGACAACGGCCATGGGTGACGGTGGCTGACAACGAGCAGCCGTGCGGTGGTGACAGCGGCGGCGGTGTGTTAGTGACAGCAGTGGGTGGTGGTGGACAGCGGCGGGGTGGGTGGTGACAACGGCGGACGGGTGGGTGGTGAACAGCAGCGGGTGGGTTGGTGACAGCAAGCGGGGGTGGTGATGACAAACGTGCAGGTGAGTGGTGACGCGGCGGGCGGTCCGCGCTCAGTGACACCAGCCAGTGAACGCGTTGGTCGCCTGCCACCGCGGCGCGGTGGTAGGCAGCTGCACGGCGGCGGCGGTGGTGGTGAACACGCAGCATGAGGCTGGCCCTCGGTGACAGCGGCGCGGGTGGGGTTGGTGACAGCGGCGGGGGTGGCTGCGTGACAGCGGCGGTGGGTGGTGATGCGGGGGGCTGGGTCGGTGATCAGCGCCGCGGTGGTGGTGACAGCGGCGCGGTGGTTGGTGACAGCGGCGGCGCGTGGGTGCGTTGACAGCGGCGGGTGGTGTGCGTGACAGCCGGCGCGGGTGGGTGGTGACAGCGGCGGGGTGGTGACGTGACTAGCGCGCGGGGTGGGTGGTGCAAGGGGCGGGGTGGGTGGTGACAGCGGCGGGTGGTGGTGACAGCGGCGGGGTGGTGGTGAACAGCGGCGGTGTGGGGTGGTACAGCCGCGGGGTGGTGGTGACAGGCGGCGGGGTGGTGGTGACGCGTGTAGGTGGTGGTGACAACAGCGGGGTGGTTAGGTGATGCGTGGTGGTGGCTGATAGTGAATGATAATGATGATACATGCATGGATGGTGATGATGATGGTGGTGGTGGTGATGGTGGATGGTGGTGATGGTTGTGGTGGTGGTGGTGGTGGTGATTGGTGGATGCGTGGTGATGTGTGGATGCGTGGTGTGCGTGGTTGGTGTTGATGGTGTCGTGTGTGCGTGGTGGTGGTGATGGCTGGTGGTGGTGATGGTGGTGTCTACTCTTGTGAAAGGTGCATCGGTGGTGGTGGTGATGCGTGGCTGGTGGTGATGGTGGTGGTCGGTGATGGTGGTGGTGCGTGGATGGTGGTGGTGGTGATGCCGTGGTGGTGGCTGCTGTCGCTGCGGGTGTGAGGCTGTTGTTGTTTGTTTAGTCGTCGTTGTTTGGATGATGTTAGGTACAGATACCAATAGAATAGCAGTGCGTCATTTCCATAATGTTTACCCTGCACATTCTGCTACGTGCACTAATGAGCAGTAATTTGTTCAACAACAACAACGTTCACTTCAGGCTAGGCCAAACGACTTGGTAGCAGACTAGAAAACGCTGCCGATTTAGAACGGGATGATTTCACCGGGCGTGCAGCAGCAAGCAACAACAGCAAGAGCAGCAGCATAGCAGCCAGCAACAACAGCAGCAGCAACAACAGAGTAGCAGCCACGCAAAGGAGCAGACAATACAGGCTGAAAGTCAGACGACACAACAAAAACAACAACACGACGACGCGACGACGACGACGAACGACGACGACGACGACGATTACGACGCCATGTTACGATCGTGTGTATGCGTTCCAGGCTATTCTATGTTGTAATACAATAACGTAATACTAGTAGAGAAACCCAGACGTGTTTTCGGTTTTCTTCTATTTTCGCTGTAATAAACCGTGTGAATGAGACCGCGCTATAGACGATCACTACTATGTTTTCTTTATATTATGTCTGAGCTACGTCGTATTATATTCCATTCCATTTTTTCAGGTTCTATACGGGCTACGATCGAGGTGCACGTTGCCTTCACACGTTGTAACCGACGGGCGTTTCTGCATACACACCCACGTCAACATTGCATTGTCCTGCACACTCTCTCTTCCCTCTATCTCGCTCTCTTTCGCCCCCCTGTTCTCACTCTTCTGTCTCTTCTCGCGCCGCGCGCTGCTCTCTCTCTCTCTCTTCTCTCTCTCTCTGCTCTCTCTCTCGCGCGCAGCGCGCGCATCTCTTCGCTCTCTCTCTCTTTTTCGGCGAGTTAGTCTCTCTCTCTCTCTCTCTCGCGCGCGCGCGCTCTCTCTTCTTTGCTTTTGCTTTTTCGTTTTTTCTTTCTGCCCCCTTTTAGTCTCTTGCTCGCTCCCTCTATCTCTCTCTCGCGCACGCGCTCGCACTCTCTCTCTCTCTCGCTCTCTCTCTCTTTGTCTTACTATTTCTCTGCCTCTCTTTCTTTCTTTATTTCTTTCTCTCTCATTCTCTTCTCTCTCTCTCTCTCCTCTCTCTCTCTCTCTCTTCTCTCTCTCTCTCTCTGCTCTCTCTCTTCTGAATAATATCATTAAAAAAAACGAAATTTTAAACTTTTTCCTACACAATAATTCTACACAGGGGTGAACAATACATCAGCTCAACAACGCAGAAGGCAACGACAGCTATTACAGTATTTGCAGAGCCACGCGTACGGCGATGGGCTCCCGCTAACACATATAGATGTTAGTAACTGACTATACTCATACTACACCAATTATACAAACCAGTGCGATGACGACAAGGGAAAACACAAGGCACGTCTTCATGGTTTCTGAAGTAGAACAAGTACTGATGTATTATAGATCCTCAATGGTTGTTTGTGAACTCGCTGTGTCGAGAGTGCTCAATACTATCATGAGTAGAGCAACTTATAATAAAGTTATACGACACGTTAGAAATTTTGACTCTGTTTATTGCATACAGAACTGCTTTCGTGTGGAGCGAAAGCTCCACACTCATCAGTGCCTAATAAGAGGCGCACCTCTGCTATTAGGCACTAGATGAGTGTCGGCTCTGTATTAGCATGATGGTGTTGAGCTTTCGTTCAACGAAACATTTTGTATGCCAAAAAATAAACAGGTCAAAATTATCTACCGTTGTCGCGTATAAACTTTATCATATAAGTATATATATATATATTATTATGATTACGTGTAACACGTGCCAGAAACACAGTAGCAGTTGTCTATCCTCTCGCTTGCCCTTCCTCGCGGGCTCTACCCGCATTTCGACTTCATGCATCTACCCACCTTTGCACTAATTCTCATTCTCTCTAACCGTGATACACCTAGACCACGTCTCTCTCTCCCTCTCTATCTATCTCTCTCTCTCTCTCTCTCTCTCCCTCTCTTCTCCTCTCTTCTTATCCTCTCTCTCTCTCTCTCTCTCTTCTCTCTTTCTCTCCATCTCTCACCCTCTCTCTCTATCTCACTCACTCGCTCTCTCTCTCTCTCTTTCTCTCTCCCTCTCTCTCTCTATCTCTCTCCCTCTCTCTCTCGCCACCGCATCTACTCTATTACCTGTCTCTACGCTTCCCACGTTAATTCTAGCGCCGCTTGTATGTGTCGCCATGAACTACTTACCTGTGACAACATCTGCGACCGAATGAGAGCAACGGCCGTGCAGACAATATCTGTCATACGTCATCAATCTATGTCATACGTCATCAAACTATGTTATACGTCATCAATCTATTAGATACTTCGTCATTCTATGTTATACGTCATCAATCTATTAGGTAATGCGTCAGTCTATGTTATATGTCATCGGACTCTCTTGCACGCCATTAGCCTAGTTTATACGTCATCACTCTCAGTAAGCACTATTGTAGCTACAGCTCGGTTATTAGCCCTGCCCATGCCTATTCTTCTTCTATAACTATAAACACCCTTAAGATATACAACAACGACGGTGACGACAACGGGGGGGACAACGACGCCAACAGCAACAACAAACATATAATCATGGTCATCATCCACAACAACATAAACATCATCATGAGCAACAGCACGACAATAACAACAGAAACAATAACAATAATATTAATAACAAAAGCAATAACAATCTTAACGGTGGCGACAACCCTTATCGCACACGTACACGCACGCACGTACACGCAAACACGTACACGCAACCACATGCATGCAAACACGTACGGACACACGCACGCACGCACGCACGTACGTACGCACAAACACAGGCACGCATACACATACGCGCGCACACACGCGCGCACGCCGATAGCGGCAGTGTAAGCCTCCGTGCCAGCGTTTGTGGGGTCACTGAACAGACACTAATACTATCATGTCTATCACTAACATCATGTGTCTATACGAGCAGCTTCAGCAGCCGCCGCCGCGTGTTGCTGCGGTCCGTGGTACTGATGCTGTATGTTCACAGAGGATNACACACACACACACACACACACACACACACACACACACACACACACACACACACACACACACACACACACACACACACACACTTCAAGCGCGGCAGCAGGAGGACGAGGTTAACACAGATGCTATCTAATGCCAGATACACACGTACCTCTGCTACCGGGCTGCTGCTGCTGCTTGCTAGGATGCTCCTCGTCTGACAGTGGGGATCGGTATGGCTGTACGCGTCGCTATTCGCCGACTCTTGTTCTAGCTCACAGACGGATGCGGCCGTGCGCGGGCGAACGAGCGTAAAATTATATTAAACCGCCCGTCGATCAGAAACAACCTTGAACTATTTCGGATGGAACCAGTTTTGCGGGAGTCGTGACCGGCGTGCGCGCGCGAACAGCCTATAGGTGGAGAGGGGGAGACAAAGATAGATAACACAGAGAGAAACAGAGAAAGACAGAGAGGGTAGAAAGAGCGAGGGCGATAGTGAGAAAGAGAGAGCGAGAGAGAGAGAGAGCGAGAGAGAGAGAGAGAGCGTGTGGCAGAAGGTGACTGAGAGAGACGGGGAGGAAGGTGACACACAGACTAATAGAGAAACAGATTGCGCGCGCGCGAGAGAGAAAGAGAGAGCGAGTGAAGAAAAAAANAGAGAGAGAGAGAGAGAGAGAGAGAGAGAGAGAAAGAAAGAAAGAAATACAGAGGAGGGTAAAGGTGTGGCTGCTAAAATCAAATGCCGCTGGTCACAGACAGCGAGCGAACATTTAACGGTTGATGGAGCGAGAATAAACCCAGTACGATGGTACGAGGAGGGAGGTATATACGTATTGTTAGTATTGACGATGCTATACGTACACTGCCTGCTATACATCAGACCTCAGCAGGCTGGCAGCATTAGAATTTACAGTAATTAAATTACATTATAGTCATTGTCTTGCATATGGCGATTACGAAAGGAATCACCAAAGGGGGTTTTGGTTAAATTGATCAACTCTTAAACAAATCGAGATATTAAACAATGTAGAATAATTTAGTCACACATGACAGCGTAGATAAAACTAAAAGTCCATAATAGACTCTTCTATTGTTTCTATTATTTCTATTATGGACTCTTGATATTACCAAGAGCTAATAAATTATTATAATTATTTAATTATGATATATATATTATATATTATTATTATTATTATTATTAATTTATTAGCTCTTGATATTACTGATTACTTACTTCAGCGCAAAAATTACTACGAGTTTGTTATCGGCTACAAAACAGTAAATGAGCAGCAAACTTGCGCATATACCATCTCGAGAATCGCGAAAATAAAATATGCTAACGATGTCACAAAAAATTGCCCGTGTTTAAGTGACGGGATTTTTTTTCACGCTGGTACCTACCTCAACACGTAGACACCACGTAACATTGTGTAGAGAGAGGGTCCCAGTCACCTGCAAGTGATGTTGACATAATTATGTAAATAAATCTCATTTGAAACGCTGTTTGGTGTGCATATTGCATGAAGGAAAACTTAGTCGATAATGTACGGGTGTTCGGTGACATGGTAGCCTTATTATATACATTGGTGTTACGCAAGAAGCACCGGTAAGCAACAGAACGGTCGGGAAAATGTTAAAGAAAGGTCGGACAAAACTATGCGAAATACTTGCTTTAATTAAACACAGGCCTGATCTGCTCGACTGCAACCACCACCCCCTCACACCTCACGAAACCAACCTTTACAACCCGCCTCATTCCCCCTTCACACCCACACCTCACACAACTCCCTCCTCACACCCACGCGCACACATACATACACACACATACACACATACACACACACACACACGCACACGTACGCACG